CCCCCAAAAAAAAATTAAAAATCCACCCAACATACCTCGAACGCTTTCTCGATAGTTGTGTCTTCTAGACTCCTCTCTAAATTTTTGCGTGCTGTCTGTCTAGTTTTCCGGGTAGTAGACTTCTGTGTTGTCTTCCTCCTGGATTGGGTGCCCTGCATAGGTTTGGTTCTGGGCGTCGTTTCTTCAGCAAAGACGGCAGCGGCCATTTTGGGGTCACCCTTTTCAACTTCGGAAGGGGCGAACGACAACGCAACTCTAGCTCTAGTGCGCGTCTTTGGCGCCACATCTACCTCTTTCTCCAACGCTTCAGATTCCTGGCTGACATTTCCCAAGCGCTGGACCTTCCTGCGCTTCGAAGATTGCTGCACTACAGATCTTTTACGCGAAGAGTAAAATTCAGTGACTCTTGCCTGCGCCATCTTGAAGTCCAAACCACGCCGAATTTTCGCGCCAACTGTGGTCAGCTGATTGGACGGAACCAATTTTACCAAGTAGCCGAAGAAATAAAACACAATACGTACATAAAATAAGCAAAAATCCAGTGATAATTCTCCATATATATCTTGAAATCGTCATAAAAAATCGTTAATTTTGATCAGTTTTCATAATCATGTTGAAATGTAGTGTTTTTTATGTTAATTTATAAACCCCCTATCATAGTAAGTGCACGAGCCATAACAATTTTGGACCAATCAGAGAAACCCGTAGACCATGACCTGCCAGGGGTCAACGTACTGTTACCCCGAAATCTGACTTTGGAGCAGAGAAAAGGCTAAAAGAAACGCCACTTTCTATGCTCTAAAAGGTAGAATTATAAGCTGTGTGCACGCCAAATGGACGAGACTTAACACATAACCAGACAACTGCGTCACTAGTTCGGTTTGAACCCCTAGGCATGACATCAAAATTTGCCTTTGTTTACGTTTTTTTGTGAAAAGTGATTTGATTACTGTTTTGATTCCGTCCACACAAGCCCGTCACAAACGTAATACCTTTCTTTCTTATTGAGATTTTAGGACGTAAAAGCTAACGTAATCTCACCAGCGGCCAATAGCGAAGAAGCACACTTAATCAAGTTACTTGTAACCCCTCCACAGTTCCAACCTACGTGACGTCAGGGCATGTTTTTTTTTTTTTCGGGGTAAAGCTTGAGCTCATTTCCTGTCTGCTTCTGTGTAGGCATCAACGCGCGCGAGGAAAAAGAAAGAGAATAAACTTGTTTTTACGGACGAAGCTTGCCCCACACGCTAACCAGAAGGAGGAGGAAGAACCATGGGGCAGATTGAGTGGGCTATGTGGGCTAATGAACAAGCCATCATTAGCGCATGGGGTAAGTTTTTGCCATATCTATTTTGTACTTGCATACCCGCCCCCCTCCCCCCACTAAATATTCGTTACCAATCCCTATTCATTTTATAACCTTGCTGTAGTTGCCTAATAATAAGTAACACACCGTTTTTAACTGTGTTGTGTTTCTTACTCGTGGATCCGGGCAAAGTCAAATCACTAACATTTTCTTGTAATTAGTCGACTCTCTATCTGTTTAGTACGTAGTCATAGAACATGTTTTGTATAGGTACAACTGCTCACTGTACCCTTCATAAGTATAGTTTACTGTAGCGTTATGTAGAATGTACGTGTAGAGTTGAAATATTTTCTAGCCAGTAGTTCTTTATAAAGCTTCGGTCACAACCCGCTGTACGTGCTTCTGCGTGCTGTCTACGTGCAAAAACGTGGGCAAACGTAGGGCATCCGTGCGTGGTGAGTACCGCCTCCGTACGGAATCCTACGGATTTGGGAGCATGCAGACACGCCGTAGAACTTTAAGTGCATGTAAAACTTTTTCTGCGTGCGGTGTACGGATTCACCACCCGTGCGTGCGAGTACGGGCAACGCGCGTGCCCCGTATGTACCGTACGAAAGACGCACGTGTGAGAACGGCCTCTTTACAGTTGCAATCGCACAGAGATCATACGGTTGTAAGCACGTACAACTCACCACTTGCGCTACGTACGATGCACGCAACCGCTCGCGGCCAGGCGTGGTGTGCAGACCACACTTTTACAATTACACTTTGCGCAACCGTGCAAGTGATGTGCGAGTGACGTGCGTCGATGCCACTCCTTCCCCACATTTTCAGAAAAAACGTAGCAGACGTAGCCTCCAAAAAAACGTACGGACAAAAAGCATCTAGTACGGCGGGTTGTGACCGAGGCTTAACACTCAAACACAGTAACCGTTGACCATATTATGTAGCATTATGATAGACTCAATCATACCGACTAGTAACTTTATTACCTGTCATACATTGTACCTGTGACAATCGTCGTGCAATAAACTTTGACTTGACTTGACTTGTACAAGTGGACCTCCATAGCATGGATAATTTGACACTTGCTGAATGAAAATGGTTTTCTGTTCAAACAAAACAAATTTAAGAACTTTATTAGCAAATTATATCTACAATAGTGGTAACTATTAAATGGAGACATGGTACAAGTACCAAATTTTGTTTTAACAAAATTTGGTACTTAAAAGGTGAAAATAATTTGTCAATGAAGGCACCCTTCATTATAATTTCATTCACAGTCAAACTTTTGTACATACAATTAGTAAAGATTCTTCATACTAAATAGAGTAAGTAAACTATAAACAAATATGTCATAACAATCGTGGGATATAAGTCAAGAGTGACTGTTGAGGGCACTACGCTAGGCTGGCACTACTGGTATGCAATAACAATGTTTTATTTGTTTGTACGTAGACATAGAATACAACAACACAGATAGATACAATGTATTTCACTTGTCAGTCTTTGCAAGTCGTTTGCTCGTCTTATTTTTTTTTAAATTCAATAAGAATGACAAGATGAATCAACACAAAGTTTAATGTTTAGAAACCTAGGACAGCTCTTTGTCAGAGATTTATATTCAGGAAGCCGCATTACTAAGTAAGTAAATTGTACAATATACGTTTTGACAGGGGAAGGGCTATGGGATCGGTATATCGCCAATTCTACCGGTAAATTAGAGATCGCAATCGCAATCTCTACTGGCAGAGACTATGATCGCGATCTCTGATTCTGGTAGAATCCGCACTTGTACCAGATCGCAATCTCTACCCTTACGTGTACATAGATGGAGTGGAGATGGAAGATCTAGAAATCGAGTGGGCCATGTGGGCCAACGAGCAGGCCATCCTCAGTGGTCGGGGTGAGTGTCGGTAGTGTTACACGAAGTTAGAATAAGCTAACTCCCCCTACCCATTGTAGTAGTATAGACCAAACATATTCAGAAGCAAGCCACCAAGAGAACCTGACATCTAAGATTCCATCTCTTTGCCATCTGGACTGCATTGAGCATGTACAAACTTTGTACCCTACTAACCATACGTAGAATAAAACCATGGAAATGCAATGAATCTGTCGTATCCTGTCGTACAAAGCAACATGGTGTCAGAAGTGGGATCGAACCCACGCCCCCATTCAGACTCAGACTAGTCTCCGTAAATAATTGCATCAATCTCTCAAGTGTAAAGGTTCTTTTATCTTTATTAGGGGTGGGTACCGGTTCAGCCGGACTGGTTTAAACCGGAACAACATTCGGGAACTGAGTCCACAAATCCAAATACGAAAACCGGATCATCAGACCTGATGTACATTTCTGTAGATTATACACACATCTTTAGATAATCTGGTCATGGCAGGTAAAGAAAGTAACCCTGAATCGAACTAGATTGGCCTTAACCCATGTTTGTCTCATTCTGTAACTGTTTGGCTTCAATATACATTGTACAACTGGAACATAATTTTCAACACACTAGTGATCATGACTGATTCATGAGTGACCTGTACTCGTGCTTCGCGCTCAAAAATATATGATATACTAGTAGTGCTACGTACTGTACACAATAATCAGGTCCAGGTTTAGGTCCGGACCTGGACCTGATCATCTGAACCTGATCCGGACCTGGACCTGAATTTTCTATACAGGTACCCACCCCTAGTCTTTATAGCCTGGATGCCATCCGTAGTTTCTGCCGACTCCCTAATGTCGCGAATTCCATCATATATAATCACTGGTAGAGCCGAAAATGTCTATAAAACGTCTAACAGACATTTAACATTCTTGAAAGTTCCGCACATTTTTTTTACATTTGTAAGAATGTCTTTTCCAGGTCTTTACAGGGTCTTTTTGGGGAGGACTTGCTTGTTGTGTTTTCCATTGTTCATGAGGTGTCTGTCAGAATGTCTTTAGAAAAAAAGTGTGAAAACTGACATGCATATAAAAAGCACTGCACAAAGCCAAGACAATTTATAGGGGAGGACACCATTAATTAACAGACAGATGCTAATATCTTTATAAGTACACATTGTGCTAAACAAAGGACTGTCTCCTAGGGGTGTCCCTACCTGACATGTGAAGAGACTATGGATATAAAATGTCCATCTTGGGTTATTTCGATGTAGTTTTTCAGTAACTATGTCTACTAATGTTCTTCCGACTGGCCTTTGTTCAGCAATGTCTAAATCATGTCTAGTGTCCGCTAGACGTTTTATACACATTTTTGGCTCTACCAGTGCCTCCACAGTTGCAGTACTACAACTGTACATTCACGAAAACACAAAACACTTCCCTGAAATCTGTGAACTCGAAGGTCACAAAAACCAAATGTATAGTATTACGCACTTCCCAGAAGTCTGAAATCTGTCATGCTGACTGATGTTCACAAGCTAGATCATGATGACAGTTCAGTTTTTATAGTTCACAGCTCGAGATTATTTTTATATGAGATTAGGCCACACCAATTTAATTTCTTGGTTAACAGATTCGCCCGCTTCATTTTTTTCTGATTTGAAAAAAAAAATGTAGAATCAACTGCAAAATGCACATATTTTGCCCTGAACAGTTGAAAACAGTCCTTTTCTTCCTAGTTGTTACAGTTATTACAGTCTTTCAATGCAGTGGTATCATTAAAAGTTCATTGTTCAAATTTTGAACCAGCCTGGTGTGTTGACTTCATGGCTCCTATCATACCATTTTGGGCCATAATAGGATGCCTAGGCCAGTGTTTTTATTTTTTTCCTTTTTTTTTGCCGCCCGCTCCATTATTTTTCTAGAAAAATCCGTTAACCAAGTAATTAAATTGGTGTGTCCTTATATTGAGTAATGACTGGACTTCTAGGAAATACGTCAAGCAGTTTTCACTTCATGATGTTATGTGACTATTCAGGCTGAATTGTAAGTCAGCCCCTTAATGTATTGGGTAAAGTTTGTGATGACTCAGAAGCGCTGCTGGTAAAAGTAATTCAGCTTCAAATTAATTTCTTGTTGTCGACTGATGATTCACCATCATACGGCAGTTCTCATCAAATATGCATCGTAGAATTCCTTAGAAAATATTGTCAACTTTATATCAGCAGTAATTTTGTAGTGGGTATTATTGGACAAATTTTAGAGTAGACGTCATTTAGTGTGTATGTGTACATGTAAGTTCCCATGCAGGGTTCTAGCTAGCGCGAAGTAGCGTAGGGACCCCCTACGCTATAATTTTCACCCCCTATGCTAAATTTCCCCCCTACGCTATAATTTTGACCCCCTACGCTAAGTTTTCAATACAGCATAGGGGCAATTTTGTGACTGTATTTCTTTGTACAATAATGCCAGATCAAATGTGAAAAATTACCAATCAAGGATACATTGTACATACATTTTGTACCTTAGAAATAACATTTTTTTCCCTTTGGCCCCTTTTTTAGCTCAATTTTTTAAAAGCTCCACCCCATCCCCCCTCTTGGTTGCTTCACTCCCTTGGCAGGCGGCCAGTACCACTACGCTAAAATTAAATCCTAGCTAGAACCCTGCCATGTACTGTCAGAGGCAGAATGGTGACCCCACTATCACCCCAGTATTGAATACTTTGTTTGGGTTTTAGTGTATGAAGACAGCAGATTCTTTTTTCTGTTAATATTTAATAGCTGTCTGGTAACATTGAAAATTACCTGCACAATATACATGTAAATTGTACCTAAGCCACTCGGAATTTACATGGGTCACACAAAAAACTTCAGAAATCATTGCCATTATATACACCCGTAATTATAATAATTATGTCTTGACGTGTATGCAGGTACATTGTTAGTATTTCAAGGTCTGATACAGTGCCATACATATGTATGTAAATCCTATGCCTGAGGGTATATTCTCTTCTTTGAAAGTGTTGAAAACACGTGTATTATAGAGCTTGGGCCACACCAATTTAATTTGTTGGATTTTTTTCAGAAAAAATTTGAAGCGACAGGGCGAAAAAAAAAAACAGGCCATCAAGGCATGATAGCCGGAAATGTTACAATATGAGCCATGAAGTGAACATACCAGGCTGGTTTATAATCAAAATAATAGATTTTGAACTTTTAATGAAACAAAATTGCATTGTTACATTGAAAAACTTAACAACTAGGAAGAAAAGGACTTTCTTCAACCATTGGGGCCAAAATATGTCTTTCATTGAGCATTTTGCAGTTAATTTAGAACCCCCAAATTTATTTTTTCTTTTTCAAATCAGAAAGAAATGGACAGGGCAAATCCAAGAAACAACAAATTAAATTGGTGTGGCCTTGAGTTGGATTATGTCCAATTCAAATTGTTGACTCAGGAGCCAATGAAGGTGTGGCCTGTGACATTTGGAAAGCGTGATCTGCTGTACAATGGAAAATTCTGAACCATGACCAGGATGTTATTAGGGGTGGGTACCTGTTCAGCCAGGCCAGTTTAATGTCCAGACTGTGCATGATGTACAAAATGACTAATAAACTTGTGGATGTATCAACCACTAAGTATCTGATACCAGCCCAGAAAAGAACAAGAAACAGTCATGCCTTCAAATATCAGAGTTATCAACCAAGAATTCAGTGAGGTGTTCCAAAAACTTGTATTTCCCCAGAACTATCGTAGACTGGAACTCGTTGCCACAAGCACAGTTGGGGCATCATCACTAGAAAGCTTTAAGTCCTGCAATTTAATGTGCAAAGATTGAGTGTAACAAGTCGTTCGGTGTGATATAGCTAGCTGCTGCTGCGCCGCGTGCCTGCGAAGCTGGTGTGTTATGCCGAAGGGCGGTTATACCGGCTATACAGATACAGATACATACAGAAAACTATTTTAACCTTGAGTTGGATTGTTGACTCAGGAGCTATTGAAGGTGTGGCCTGTGACATTTGGAAAGCGTGATCTGCTGTACAAAGGAAAACTCTGAACCATGACCAGGATGTGTTTATTGTTCTGTCCAATGCACAAAAGAACAGACATGACAGGAAGTTGGTGTACAGACATAAAGTCGTGACTATAGTACATTACAAAATTGCTAGAATACATTGTTATGTGGAATTATTTTAACATATTCCTTAGAAAGAATTATTTTGAGTGAGATGTGTGTGTGTGCGAGATGCGTGTAAAATGTTGCGAGTTCCGCCAATTGTTTTTTTTTTCTATAACAGTTATAACGCCCGTTATAGCTCATATTTGTAACACAATACGTGTTCCTAATGATTTACATCTAAAAGGGATGTAATATGTTGTTAAAGATATCCTGATTTTTTAAAATTAGTAAACGTGCCATCCAAAATAGAACGTACCGGGTGGATGTTAGGGGCAAATTTATGTTTACAGTATTTGGAACCTGAGAGGCCACCCAGGTCATTGGCCACAATGCGGCTGGCGGCGAAAACAGGCCCGAAAATGACAAGTTTCCCGCTACAATACGCGTTTATAAACGTCTTCACTTTGAAGATTTGTCAATTTTTTTCATGCGTACTCGAAAAATTTTTACTGATTTTCCAAAAATTAATAAACGTACCGTGGAAAATAAGAACGTACCGGGTGGACGTTCGGGCCCAAAAAAATAAATGTACCAATACGTTTATTCGGCAGATGAGAGTACATTACAAAATGTATGTGCTTTCAAACCTAGAACGGTGGTTAACAAAATATTTATTTACATAACGACTCTCAGAGCTGTGTACCTAAACAAATTTTAGGTAAATAGCTGGTCTCCCATGGGTCCCAGTGTAAGGACAGTGTGTTCATGAAAACAAAAACATCTTAGTTTTGCCCATATTATTTTGTCTGAGCATTCTCCATGAAGAAAAACTAAACCTTAACAGTCAAGTTTATTAATGTTTTTCTTGTTATTAAAGGAGATCAGAAGAGTATGTTAATTGGTTGAATTGTTCAGGTACAGGTTCAGGTCCGGACCTGTACCTTAACCCGTGTACCTGTATCTGCAGATACAGGTACACGGGTGGCTATACAATGTGCCTTGGCCTGTTTTTTTTTCTGCCCTGTCGCTCCTGATTTTTTCTGAAAAAATCTGAGAAACAACAAATTAAATTGGTGTGGCCTTATATTGTATTTCTGCTAACAGTGTATTTCCTGTCTTGCAGTGATGCTGACTGGGGGAATCATCGGTCTGACTGGCTTCAACAGATGGGAGATTGCTGCATATTCAGTGTATCCTTTTTCATACTTAAAGTATTTGTTTGTTTGTTTGTTTGTTTGTTTGTTTGTTTGTTTGTTTGTTTGTTTGTTTGTTTATCCAGGAAATACATATCGCCTGATGGCGTTTTTCAATGGTTCCTGGGGTAAAACCCCAAACAACATCCATTAACAAAATGAACTCAAGATTAACAAAGGTATCAAATAAAGTTACGCAGATTACAAATTGATACAAATTCAAAGTAACTTAAATAACATATTAAGAGAAACAATATTGTACCCTTAACATCATATAACGTAAAACCAAGGTAGAACATAATACATTGAAATCAGGATTGAATTTGCATATCAATGATTGTCAAGTACATACAGTTGTTTGAAGGCTGTTAGGGTTCTGGCAGTTTTTAGATGGTATGGTAGTGTGTTCCACAGTGCCGCCCCAGAGGATGAAAAGACACGTCTTCTTTATAAGGTAAAAATAAAGATCCCATACCCTTCTTGAGCTTGTAGAAGCAATAGGTTGTTAATCCAGTGTGTCTAGGACATGGTATTGGAAGGCAGAGCCCATCCATTTCCTCCACCGCCTTTTACTGAGCCCAACCAAAGACAGGTACCTATTTTACACCTGTACAATTCCTAGAATATACGTCATTACATGTACTATATATTTGGGGGTCCCCCAGAACAGTAGAAGGAATAGAGGAAGGTTGAACAAGACTGGCAATGAAAACATACATTGCCATGGTGACGGTGGTCGCCATGATCTCATGATTTTGAGAAAGCCTTGATACCTGTTACTTCTAGACAGATACAGTGCACTCCTCCCCTGGGTGTATAGTGAACGAGCCCCAGGGTCACAGAAAGTAGGGCATCTGGGGCAGACAGGTTTTCCCAGGGGTTTCCAGGAATGTGGGCATAGATGTGGGTCTAAAAAACAGAGCTGGGAGACATTCCTGTGGACATTCCATGCCTGTGGACAAAATACCAGGTACTGTACCATTCCTAGAATTCTTGCAAATTACACACAATACTGTACCATTAGGCTCCTCCCTGAGACGTCACCAAAAATATGGCTGATAAAAGGAAGTGGAAGCAATACTGCCCCATCCTCCCATGGCAGGGGCAGCGGCTCCGAATTCCTTCTCCACCCCTTACCCCTGCCGTATAACATGGCATCTTCTACTCTACGACCCCAGGAATATTAATATTCATGAGCTTGCCTTATTTGGCATGACCCCATTTCTGACTTGGGCGGCGAAGGGACGTCACCCTCCCCGCCGGCGACTCCGCCGCCGCCCGGTGACGAGCCCGTTAACGCGTTGGGGAGGCCGTGCGGGGCAAAGTCACCTTCCCCGTGCTCGGCGGGATCCGCGCGCAGCCTCCAGCACACGCTAGCGCCCCGCCGACGCCCGCAGCGGCCTGCATCGCAAAAGTTCTCTTCCCGAGACGACGCCATGTTTGTTTTTATTTGTCACTGAATGGCCGACATGATTGGTTCCGATAGCTAGCGCATCTCATAAATATTAATGTAAAGTGCGTTGAAGATTTTCTCTGTGATACGTGATTGGCTGAGAGCGTGTCCCTGGAATCGGGTCGTAGAGTAGAAGATGCCATGTTATACGGCAGGGGTAAGGGGTGGAGAAGGAATTCGGAGCCGCTGCCCCTGCCATGGGAGGATGTACTGCCCGAGAAACAACAAATTAAATTGGTGTAGCCTTATGGTAGAATTATTGGTATGCGAGATGACGAGAGGAACTAAGGTCTAAGGACTATGCTATTAGGCTCACCCCTGAGGTGTCGCCAAAAAATCCTTTGCAAATTGGGCATTTTGAAGCTTCACTTCCACAAACCCATCACAAATATATGTCAGCCCACTTTCAATCCACGACGTATGCATGGATTTTAACGTATGACAAGGTAGATTCAATTATGAAACGGATATTTATGCAACATCAAGCATGTTGAGCTTCAGGACTTGAAGGTGACTATGCTCTGCATTTGTACAATCATCTAAAATGTACTTAAGGCAGCCAGTTGGCAACAGTCCCAGAACAAAAGTTTGTACTTCCTTTTCCTTGAACTTGAAGAGTAATCCACATGTAGTCATGCGTGTATTGTACAGGCTTAGACGATGGTAATAACTGCCTTCCCACGTTTCATGAAAGTCTTCCAAGTTTCATGTAGGAGACAGGCGAAAGGCAGTGCTCAGTCTGACTCATTTTGTTGTAAGTCAATGTAACGTCATCTGGCATACCGATAATCAAGGCTCAAAATTGGAGCTGTGCACCTAATATGTTTCTGTAGGTGCACCGGTGCACCCAAATATTTTGGTAGGTATTTTTGTACACATTAAATGACATAAAAGTATACAGGATATTCTTGGCATCTAAGACTTAGTGTCAGAAAACTAATAACATCTTTAGTACTTGTTTTGAAGTTAGCACAATTCAAACTCATAAGAAGAGCAGTAAGATCTATAATTAGGTTTTATTACTCCGTGAAGGAGGTCAGGACCTCCGGACGGAGTGTTGTGATCGGCTGATTTTTCATGTTCGCAGTCAAAACACTGGGTTCTCTTTGTGTAATCGGCACGCAATTTTATACGCCGTCTGCGGGCATGACCGTGTTGATGCACGAATGTGTATTTTTGCCGTTGCTGCTTTCGCGGTCAATGTAATATCGCAGACGCACCCCTACAATTACGAGGCGAATTGGAATGGTCCAGAAAAACGCGTTGTTTGGAATAGCAGTGGGGGGGGTAAAAGTTCATGCAGATACGGGGTGGTTTTGATAAGTGGTTCCAGATGTTTTTGCCCATGGTTAAGAGATGCCAAGTTTTTTGGAAGATGTTCGCAGCCAAAACGCATTCTTCCGTACGTCGCATTTCTGTGTAATTTCGCATGTGGTGTTGCATTATGTCCGGGATGATGCAC